AGCTAAACTGCTATATTAGGGGGACTGTGGCCAAGTCAAGGGAAATTATTCATCCTTGTGAGGATAAATCCCGCTGGGATGTGGTGGTAGCTGACCACTGCTGCAGCTGCTTGGGAGCCATTGCAAGGAAATAGAGTCTAGGACATCTCACTAATGCCAAATGATGTCACATGGGATGGTGGTCACAGAGTGGACCTTCAGAGGTTTGAGATGGACATTAGGAAGTGCTTCTTTAGCTGAGTGTGGTCCAGCCCGTAGACAGGTCACCAGAGCGATGGGTGATCTCTGTCCTGGCTCAAGGCTCAGGGAGGCAAAGCCATATCCACGCTGATCTAGGGTTGGGAATATTCTTGCCATGAGCAAGGACCTGGAATGCAGATCCCTGAGGTGCTTTCTTAGTCTGTTTGGCCTTCTCTGCTGGGGGAACAAGCCAGGCCTGCCAGGACCATGTCTCTGCACTGTAGGGACTCCTGTTGCTCGCCATAGGGCTCCTGGAGTGTTGTCAGCACAGCTCTGGGCACCCCTTTTTGATCCCATCTTATTTATGGCACATCCTTCCTGTCTTCTCCCTGCTATTACTGCCTGAAATGTTGTAATTTAGATTCCGGCTGTGTTTGATTGCAAACTCTCCCAATGTACAAATTTCAGTGACAAGCACTAGAGCAGCTCATTTACATGCCAAAGTGATCAATCTGGAACTGCTTGTTACACCAGAGAATAAATAAATAACGGATACATTAAGGAATGGGTAACAATCAGCCAAATTAACCAATATACGTCGAATAATGACAAGCCCTGACATTCTTAACAGGGAACAAAAGAGGAAAGGATGGGACAAGCTTTCCCAACATTGCCCAGGGCTGCTCAGCACTCATCTATCTCCTCTCACCCCATGAGCCGACAGGGATGTGCATCAATGACAGTGAGCAAGGGCTGGAGCCTGGAATCCTGCCTTTTAAACCACATACCTGTCTTTATTCCTCACATCTGCTTTCTGCAAGGATTTTTCATAGGAACAACACATTCCCTGGGACAGCAATTTAAATATTTCAGACATGTGGCAGCTACACAGTGTGGCAAGTGGCCTTGCAGCCTGATTTTCACCTGACATGTCAGGAAATCCTTCCAGGGCACCATCACTCTCCACAACCCCCTGACAGGAGGGTGGAGCCAGGTGGGGGTAGGTTTCTCCTCCCGGATAACAAGTGACAGGACAGAGAAAATGGCCTCAATTTGTGCCAGGGGAGGTTTAGGTTGGATGTTGGGAACAATTCCTTCACTAAAAGGGCTGCCAGGCGTCGGAACAGGCTGCCCAGGGCAGTGATGGAGCCACTATCACCGGAAAAGTTCAAAGAACATGTGGATGTGGCACTTGGGGACATGGTTTAGGGGTGGCCCTGGCAGTGCTGAGTTAATGGTGGAACTCCGTGATCTTAGAGGGCTTTTCCAACCCTAATAATTCCATGACTCTGTGATTCTACTTTGGGACATCCCAGCTCAACAGCTCCAACATCCATCTGTGAGGTTATCCAGGCACCAGTAACCCACCAGTGGCTGCAGCAGCTGTCCTGACCTCCCAGTGGGTGCAGGTCTGCACTGGGATGCTGTGACTGGCAGCAGAGGTGTGTGTGGTACCTGACAGCACTGCTGATCTCCATCTCTGCCTCCTGCACAGTGACAGGGAGGTGCCAGCTGCCTGATTTCTCCTCCTCTGGCAGCTCCTGCCTGTCAGCTCCTCACCCTGGGGATCCCCAGCAGGGAAGGAGCCTCTCTCCCTGTTGTCTGCTGTCAGGCAGCTCGCGTGTGCCTGCAGGCTCTGGGGACATGTGGGGAGGCTTCACAGGGGTCACTGCTCTTCCAGGAAAGGCTGCAAGGCTGGGATGGCACTGACTGATCTTGCCTGTCAGCACCAACTGGGAGGGCAGCAAGAGGTGGAGGTGTTGCCCCATGGCCCATCCTGAACCCATTCTGAAAGGAGGAGGGTTGCTCAGGGTAAAATCCTCTGGAGCAGAGTTTTTTGGTGTGCAGCAGAGCCAGGAGGCCACGACAGGTGCCCTAAATCCTGGGGATGCTCACCTGAGTGGTCGGGTTCCCCAAAACCGAGGGCACCACCCTCTTTGGGGATGATTTTGTGACACCTGGGGCTCTGAAGAGCATCTACATCCCCTGGCTCTTCCAGGTACATCCACTGTCCCCTCTGCCTTGGGCTTGGCCCCATTCCATATCACCTGGGGGTCCCCCGTGTCGACCTGGCCCCTTCTCCGTGATGGAGTGATGGTGCTGCTGGATCCACCTCAGCCGGGAGAACATGGCAGGGTTCACACGCCCCACCATGGAGGTCCTTTCCCCACTGAGGAAACCCCCCTCCTCCCCCACTCTCAGGGGGTACCAAAGTGCCCCCACACCCGCGAAAAGGCTTTTGTGGCCGTGTGGAGGGGGTGGGTTATCCTGGCTCCCGACGCGCAGAGATGTCCGTGCTCTCACTCCGCACCTGGACATCCCGCAGGACACCTGGGGACAGGGGGACCCCCGGGGGGGTCTCCCCGCCCCTGTTTCGGGAGGAGGAGCGGGTGGCACCGAGCACGGCTGAGGCAGCGCTGCCATCTCGTGGCGCGTCCCGTCGCTGCCGTGCCGGCCCTGCCCGCGGCCCCCCGGCCACCCCCCGCTCCCACAGACAGCCCTGTGGGGATCGGAAGGACCAGGGTGGTGGCATCTGTGGTCCGCAGCAGCCTTCGGGATGGCGCCGTGCGGTGCTTATCCCTGCAGCCGGCATCTCTGGAACCACGGATGGCAGTTCAAGTGACTTCCCACTGCCAGAGGACGGGGTTAGGGTTAGGTGGGATGTTGGGAAGAAATCCTTCCCTGTGAGGGTGGGGAGGCCCTGGCACAGGTTGCCCAGAGAAGCTGTGGCTGCCCCATCCCTGGAAGTGTCCAAGGCCAGGTTGGACAGGGCTTGGAGCAACCTGGGCTAGTGGAAGATGTCCCTGCCCATGGCAGGGGGTGGGATGAGATGAGCTTTATGTTCCCTTCAGACACAAACCAGTCTGTGATGTCCCAGCTGCCGATCTGGAGGCGGAGGAGGAGAGAGAGGATGGGAGAAGAAAGCTTGGCTTGACCACAGCAACTCTGAAAGTCACAGAAGTGGGGCTAAACACTGCTCAGGAGTCTGGAGGAGGGAACACCTGGAACCAGCACAGCTTCAAGGAGATACTGGAGACCCACAAGCAGCCCCTGTAATTCAGCATTTAAATGGGGTTAAAGGGACAACAGGAGACAAAGGACACGGGAGCACAAGGACCAGCCATCGATCAATCCTGGATGAAATGATGGAGTGGTCTCATTTGGGCTGTATATTAAGAAAGGGCAATGGGGCAGAAATACAATTACTGTCCAGAAGCATCGTTTGGTGGAAGGTAGGTCCTTTCAAACTCACCTGTCATCTTGTCTTGACACGGTTACAGGTCTGGTTGATAGAGGAACTCTGTTGATAAAATAAAATTGCATTTCTTCTGGGCATCTGATTTATTATGGGATGACATTTTGATTAAAAATATGTATTATATTACATTAAGAGGGCATCTATTCAATGAATTAAAGACTAGCTCAGTGACAGATCTCCGGTGGCAATGGTCTCGACACTGAGCTTTGGTCATTCCCTTTTTCAGCTGTATTAGAAATGATGCAACACCTTCCTTGGGACTGCTAGAGGTGGCAGGCAGGGGGGAAAAGGGAGGGTTGCCAGCACCCCTGGGCTTTAGAGCCACCCTAATCCCAGGCCTGCTCACTGCCCTCTTTCCTTGGACATCCTCCCCTGAACCCCAGCTCCAGCTTTGGGGACCCCAATGTCTCTTTCTCATGAAGGTCAGTGCAGCTGCCATAGGACACCTGAAAAGACACTCCAGGTGGATATGGATCAGAAAGCCCCTCCTCACAACCCACTGTGTCTCCCCTGGCTGGTCCCCAGGGTCCCAAGGACCCCACGGTCCCTGCTGGGATCATCGTGGCACCTCTCACCACTCGCTCCCTGGCACGATGGGGCTTGGGCACTTGTGGCATTTCAGGGTTCATTTTTAGCAGAGCTGAAGGCACATCCCTGGACTCTTTCCCTGCACTCAGTGGGATGAAATGCTGGTGTTTCATTTGTCCAGTCTCATGAGGCCACACAGCTCCAGGGGTTGCCCAGATCTGGTTGGTGCAAGGCACAGCCACCCAAAGGGGACTGAGAGCAGTATCAGTGCCAGACACCCCTGCTACCACAGACACAAGGCCCCCAAAGCACTGAAGAGAAAGCAGTGGGAAGGAGACCATAGGATCACAGAATATCCTGAGTTGCAACAGAACCACAAGGATCATCAGTCCAACTGCTTGGCCCTGTACAGATACCCCAACAATCCCACTCTGTGCCTGAGAGCATTTTCCAAACACTCCTTGAGCTCTGGCAGCCTTGGGCCGTGACCACTGCCCTGGGGAGCCTGTTCAGTGCCCAAACATCCTCTGGAAGATGAACCTTTTCCTAATATCCAGCCTAAATGCTCAAGGTCCTGCTGAGCCACACAGGCACTGACATTCCCTGCTCCATCAGGCTGCAGGTGGGCATCTGGAGGGGTCAGCCCCCAGCAGCCACCATGACAAGTCTGGGTACCAGTGGCTCTGCTCATCACCCAGACCAGGAGCCTTCAAAGGTGATCCCTGGGCCCCCTCTGAGCATTCCTTGGTTGGCTGTGGCACCTGGTGCTGTGATCACCCGTCCCCTCCTGCAGGGGCAGAGCTGTGGTGCTGCCCTGGGCAGCCTCTGGGCACCCTCCACTGTCATGTTGCTTTGTGCCCAGTGTCCCCCAGTCCCTGCTGTGGGAGCTGGGCCAGGCTGGGCACCCAGCAGTCCTGCACTCTTGCTGACCAGGCTGTTTCCAGCACAGCCAGAGTCAAGCATGGAAAGGGGAACAAGGTTCTTTCTCGTACAGAGAAAGCGAAACTCAGCACATCCCTTCGCTGCTGGGCAAACCACCGTGCGTGCAAAGACATCCTCCCACCCTGCTCCTCTTCCTCCCTGTTCCCAGGGAAGAGCTTCCAGCAAACTGAACTGCTGCTCACTCTGGTCTGCCTTGACCCCCTGCACTGAGGTAAGTCACCCCAAAGAGCAGGGGACACACTCCTCCTCTGCCACCACTCTGCTGACCTTGCTCCCTGTCCTCATTCTTTCTTCACATTCCCCCTCCACGGGAGTTTAAAGTAGGAAAATGGGAGGAGATGATGCAGGGGTGGGGGGAGCTGCAAGAATCTGTCCTTGCTCTGTGTGGTTGTGGACATCACTGGGCTCTACAGGCTTGTCCCAGGCTGAGTACCTCAGGTCTTGTGTGCTCAGGGCGTCTCTCTGTTCTCCCAGCTCTGTGTGTTGGAGATTTGGATCCCATTTTCCTGTTTTCCCCTCCCTGTCATGTCTCTTTGCATCCTTTCTTCCCTTGTGCTCTCTATCCCATGGAACCACGGCCCTGTACGTCACTGCTTCTCCCTCAAAACTGGAATGAACATCCTCTACGTGCATCTAAGGTGCCACTACCAGGACATGCAGCTGTCCTCTACATCCTGGGTTTTTGCTGTTGTCTCCATCTTGGGCTTTCCAATCCCACAGTCCTACCATGGGCATGTCAGAGATTTTCATTGACTTCTGTTATTTCTGATCACACAAGGAAACACCTCCAAAACCCTTCTAGGGAGCTGTTTCCACCACTGCATGTGGTGTCTGGTGAATTGTACCAAACAAGTGCTGAGAGCACTTGCATGTCTGTGTCCAAGGTCTGTGTGTTTGCCCCCATCCCCAATTCCCCACCCTTTTGCTTGTAGGAGGCAGGATGCAGCCCGAATTTTGGCTGGGGATCAGCACCCTGGCAGCAGTGCTGAGCACGGCCCTGCTGGAGGATGGAGTGTGCCGGGCACCAGATGGCAAGGATGGCTTCCCTGGAGTCCCTGGCCGCGATGGGAGGCCAGGGCAGAAGGGTGACAGGGGAGAGCCAGGTAAGGGGAAGCCTGAGGTGCCCAGTGTGGGGAGCCTGGGAACCTCTTGATAGGAGCATCCCAGGCTGTGGGAGCAGCTTGGGAGATGCCGGATGTGCACGAACTGCTCCTCTTCACCACCTCTCCCCAGGGAAACCAGCGCCAAGGACGGGCATCCGGGGACCCAAAGGGGATGCAGGCGAACCCGGGGCTCCTGGCATTCCAGGGATCCGCGGACTCCCTGGCCTCCCTGGCTCCATTGGGATACCAGGGCTGCCAGGGCTCAAGGGGGAGAAGGGGGCACCCGGCAATACCCTGGAGCAGCCGTGTCCCGCCTTCTCCGCCTCGAGGAGGTCCCCGCCATCCATGGGCAGGACGGTGGTGTTCGACAACATCATCACCAACGAGGAGAACTCCTACAGCCCCCAGACGGGGCAGTTCACCTGCCGCATCCCCGGGCTCTACTACTTCGCCTACCAGGTGGTCTCCAGCGGGGACCTGTGCCTGAGCATCACCAAGAACAGGGAGCAGGTCGTCAGCTTCTGCGACAACAACAGCGTCGGCGTCCTGCAGGTGAACTCGGGCAGCAGCGTCCTCAGCCTGGCCCCGGGCGACCAGGTGTCCGTGAGCACCAACCCTGCCCGGGGCAGCTCGATCTACAGCGGCTCCGAGGCAGACAGCGTCTTCAGCGGCTTCATGCTCTTCCCACAGACAGGCTGAGGGGGTGTCTGCCTGCGTGGGTGATCCCCCTGTGGGTGTGGGATGGTTCAGTGCCACAGCACGCTGGGATGGCCCCAAACTGAGCGTGCAGACGGGTCCTGTCTTCCACCAATGTCACAACTGGCCAGGCCGTGGGTCACCAGCTCAGCAGTCACCTCTGTGCTGAGCCTGCCCACTCCATCCTGGAGGCAGTGGACTCTCACCCCTTTCTCCTCCTGGGCATTCATACCTCACTCTGGAGGGTCCCAGTTGTCACCAGCTGTGGCTCTTTGCTCCTGAGTGGGAAATCACTGCCTGCCACTGCTTCTGCTACACTAACCACTGTAAATGCCTTCCTGGCACTGGCACACGTTCTCTCACATCCTCCCCATCAGTATAAATAAACCCTTCTTTCACCATATCTCTTTGAGTTTTCTTTTCTACTCATGCAATCTTCCCCAAACCATGAATATCCTGGATCCCTCCCCAGGCTGTCCAGGGAGAGAAGCGATCCCAGCTTGTCCCTGGCACTGCAGAGGGAAGACAGGAGGGAATGGAGTGTCCAGTCAGAGTTGACACTTACAGAGAGGAATGCTGGGATTAGGCTATGTGTGTCCTTCTCTGCTGAGCCCAAGGCAGCTGTCCTGCAAGGGAAAACACAGGCAGCAGGTCGTGCCCCTCACCAATGTGACCCCTGTTAGTACCCAAACTCTCCCAGGAAGAGAAAAGGCAGCTGTGGTCCTCTGGCCTTACAGCAAGGAGGGACAGGGATATCAGGGTGACTGATGGGGTGGTGGGGTGTTGGTGGTGCAGTTGTGAGGGCCTTGGGGTGAGATGAGTGAGAGGTACAATAAGCTGGGCACAAAACAGACAGCTGGGAAGCACCAGGGAAGACACATAGGTGCCATACCCTGGGTCTGCTCCTCAGGGGAGCTACTGCCCACACATTGGGTGCTCAAATGTCTCCGTTCCTGGAGCTGTGAGGAGGAGACCAGGTCACTGAGTGGAGCAACACCCTGACGAGGGATGTTGGGGCCTCACAAAGTCCAGCACCCAGCAGAACTGGTGGAGCACAGTGAAAGGTGCAGGTCAGAAACTCTCAAGGAGAAACACCCTCCAGTCCCATTTAGGGGTGAAGCATCTTCCATCAGAGCCCGGCAGTGACCTCGCACCAGCCCTTCAGTGTCACAGGCATTTCTAGCCCAACAGAGTTGGCCTGAGGCTCTGCTCTCCACGCTGCCCTTCTGCCAAGAAACAAGTGAAGTAAAGGGGAAAACAGGTGATTTCGGGGGGGCCAGTCCCCATGGAGGCTTCTGAGGGTGGTGGCACATCTTTTGGCAGAGCTTTGTCCCACTTCTGTGCTCCCAGCCCTTCCTGTTGCAGTGGCACGAGCGCAGGTCTCGCTAGACAGCCAAGAAAGTGCTCACTCAGCAGAAACAAGCAGGCAGAAGGATGTGAAACTCTGCTGGGGACAGCTGGGGGTTCTGGGTCCCCAAGGGCCTTTCCTAACTCTGCAGCTTCCTCCGTGGGGGTGACAGGGTCTGTCACTGCGCAGTGACTGCCGCGGCCAGAGGGACCAGCAGCACAGGGTCCTGTCCCCTGCTCCCCACCAGAGGTAAGAGGTGCTGCAGGGTCCCTGTGTCCTGCAGAGTGGGTTGCTGGGAGCCTGGGGGTCCAGCAGTGTGGCCCAGTGCTGTGAGGAGGATGTGGATGTGAGTAGAGGAGGAGGAGGAGGAGGAAGGGAAGGAGACAGGCACTGCTGGGCTGCACACATGTCATGGATGCACCAGCAGATGGAAATAATCAACCCGAGGGACAGAGCCAAGACAGTGAGGCTGCTGATGGAGGGGGAATGAGATCAGCTGGGTCCAGGGAGCTCCAGCCTTGGTGCAGCACAGTGTGGCAGTCCACAGTGGTGTGTGCATCACCAGGGGCTTGGATACTGGACTGGGAGGACTTGGAGCTGGCCGTGGATACCACAGACCTCATGGCTTCATCCAGACTGGAAGTCCAACCCGACTTGTGCCATCAGTGACTGCCCTGGGGTTGGTGATGAGCACAGGGCCCATCTCCACATATCCACCTCCCCACTGCCTGGCAGTTGGTAGGGGTGGGACACTGAGGGCACAGGCATGGGACCCAGGAGCTCCCGATGCAGCCAGCCTCCTTTTCTCCATGCCCTGGAAGCCACCCTGCCAGGGCCCCTCACTCCAGCATTTCTTTCTTTTTGCATGCTACAGAACCAAAATGGAGCAGAGGTTCTGGGAGCAGCTCAGTCTGGCCCTCACCCTCCTCCTCCTGAATGTGGGCTCTGCTGTGAATGGAGATGCCCCTCACAACTGCTATGGAGCTCCAGGCCTGCCAGGAATGCCGGGGACGCCAGGCAAGGATGGCCGGGATGGGCTGAAGGGAGCCAAAGGGGAGCCAGGTGAGTGAGAAATGAGGGAAACCACAGGGCTGCTGCAGTGGGGAGCACTGAGGCCTCCATGGCTTGTCTGCCTTGGTTTGCAGGCTGTGGAGAGCAGCCTCTGTGGTCAGGCTGGAAAGAGACAACAGCACTCTCCTGCACAAGGGAAGGGGCTGGAGAAGAAGCCTCTCCCCACATCCTGCTATTGACACTGACTCCCTTTCACTCCCCACCACCCCACAGGTATCCCAGCTCCTCCTGCAATGCAAGGGCCCAAGGGCATGAAAGGGGAACCGGGCAGCCCTGGTTTGCCAGGCAAGAAGGGTCCCAGTGGCCTTCCTGGTCCCGCTGGAGACCCTGGGATGATAGGCCTGCCTGGAGAGCCAGGAATGCCAGGCAGCTACAAGCAGAAGCACCAGTCAGCCTTCTCAGTGACGAGGCAGACCATGGAGCACCCCTTGAAGAACGTCCCTGTGATTTTCAACCACGTCATCACCAACACCAACCACGACTACAACACCACCACGGGCAAGTTCACCTGCAAACTCCCCGGGCTCTACTACTTCGTCTTCCACACCTCTCAGACAGCCAACCTCTGCACCATCCTGCACAAGAACCAGAGGAGGATGGCCAGCTTCTGTGACCACAAGACCAACACCATGCAGGTCAGCTCGGGGGGGCTCCTGCTCCACCTGGCTGCTGAGGACCAGGTCTGGCTGGAAGTGAATGACTACAATGGCATGGTGGGCATCGCCAACTCTGACAGCATCTTCTCAGGGTTCCTGCTCTTCCCAGACTAGAGGATCACCAGAGCCCACCCCAGCACCCTGACTGCTTCATCCTGCCCCAAACACACTGCTCACTGCCAGGCTGCTGCTGACACTCCCAGTTTCTCTGCTGAGTGGGAAGCCCCGATGAGGGCATCACCCCCAGCAGCCAGACACAACCCCTCAGTGTGGGGACTGAGCATTGGCAGCTGCTGAACAGGGGAACAGGTACATCTGGATGCATCTGCACCCAGAGTGATGGTGCTGAGCCCCCTGTCCCACTGGCACTGCCTCATAACCCTGCCCGATAACCCCACATTACCCCAGGGGTCTCTCTGCCTCTCTCCCCTCCCCACCTTGGTTGCCTCAGGTTCAGCCAGGTGTCCTGGGGCTGCAGCAGCCCCTGTGCCATGACCTGGCTGTGGAAAGTGTCAATAAATCCTTCCCCAGTGCGCCTGGTACAGTGTGTTGTGTTCTCCATGACTTACCTTTCTGCAGGTAGAGCCTGATGGATATGGTGCTGGATGTGTGTGTGACATCTGGACATCTGGGTGGCATCGGCAAGTCCCTGAGCCCTTGCTGTGCTCGGCATCAGTGACATCACACACCATCCACACCCTGGCCTTGCTCGGGGTGGGGTGAGGGTACGACCCCCGGCTGCACTGCCTGCAAGAACGGGATGGTTCCTCTGCCCCCACACAGGCCCCACCAAGGGAGGACCAAGACTCCTCCAAATAGGGCCCCTGCTCCTCCCCTTCCACATCAAAGTGGAATCAATCCAGCTGCAGATGGGCACAGACCACGCAGCAAACCCCACTGACACGCCACTGAGGGTGGGATATCCCCGGGGTCCCAGCCCTGCCAGGGACAGAGCTCTGCTTCCCTGACCCACACCAAAGGAGTTCATGGCTGTGGAGGCTGCAGAGCCCACCAAAACTCAATGGGGACCCCTCCTGGTGGCACACACTGTAGGGTGGAACAGGTCATACCCCAATGTCCTGCGCTTCACCTCCGCAAGGCAGCAGGGGAAAGCAGGAGGCCTGGGAATGCTTTTCCCGCAGGGTAAAATCACTTCCCACACACAACATTTAGGAGAGCCTGGGGCACATATTCAAGGTGATGGATGCCAAGACCCTGCAGCATCCCCTGGGTCTGCCAGAACCTCCCAGCAGAGCTGGGAAGGTGCGGAGCAGCCTGAGGGAGGTTGGCTGAACGCACGCACAACTCTGCAGCACCGATGGGTTACCCCAAACCTGGCTGGAGCTCAGGTCAGTGTTCTCCTGAGCAGGGGGGGGGGCATCTGAGCAGGACCCAGGGACCCTGCATGACAGAGTCGTACTCTGGGGGGGGCCAGGGTGCTGTTTGGGGGTGGCTTGTTCTGCTGAGCTGGCAGAGAACATTCGTGGAGGATGTGAAACTGCCACGGACAAAAGGGCAGGAGCTAAAGATAAAAAAACGGGATGTGTCCCAGATCCTTTCACAATAACTCCTGCAGCCAACTTCTGCTTCTCCTCGCAGGCATTTCCAAGCAGGACGCTGGTGTGTCCCGCTCCACCTCCCCACCCAAGCAACAAGGAGCTCAAGGTAAGAGCAAGGCTGAGCCCCAGCCCCTCACACAGGCAGGAGCGTGTGGAACACCTGGTCCCAGCAGGGTGACAGTCACCTGCACCCCTGGCACTTCCCTGTGGCTTGGGGCAGTAGAGAAAAGGGGTGGTGGGGGTGCTGGGTGGGTATGGTGGAGATTTCTGGTGGGACCCCAACCTCTCCTGCTCCACCTGGGAGAAAGGAGGACATGAAAGGGGAGATTGCAAAGTCCCAGAGGGGTGATCAGGGACTGGGCATCAGTCTGAAAGGTGCCCTGGGTGTGGTCTCTGGTCATGTGATAAACCTGGGCTAGGAGCCTGTGAATTCATCCTGTCACATCCAAATTGGAGCTGCTGTGGCTGGAGAATCCAACCCACCAACCTCTTGTCCTGCTAGCACCAGAGTTTCAGTGCTGAGAAAGTCCACCTGAGGCCGGAGGGCATGGTTGGGGTGATGTGATGTCCAGATACAGCCCCCAAATGCCAGGTGCTTATCCACAGGCATCCACACAAGGACCTGGGGGAAGGAGCTGAGCTGTGGGATGCAGGGAGGGCAGAAGGAATGTGAGACCTCAGGGACTGGAAACCCAGATGACTGTCCCAGTCATACTGTTTAGGTACAGAAATGCCTCTGGGATGGAGCAGCCATGTGGCAGGACACAAGAGGAAGCTGCAGGGTGCAGGGGAAGGTTTGGGGATTCATTGCCATCTTCGAGGACCAACACTGTCCCTCAGACCTGCTGGTGGAAGGCAAAAGCCTTCCCCTTGCAGGTGATGAAACTGCCCTGGCTGGAGGAAAGATTGTCCCCTGCAGGTGTGGTCCTGAGATGAGATTAATTTCTCCCCCCGAGGGAGCAGCATGGCCAGGCTGGACATCAGACCTCTGGGATACCCTGTCCCAGATATTCATGTGGCTGAAGCTGTGGACACTTGCAAACTGGGAATTTAAGATGACCAGAGACTGACAATCTCTGCCTCACCCAAAGGGACTGGTCCTTCCCTCCAAGGCCATCAGGAGAGCAGATTTGGCTCTGCAGTAGGATGTTTTCCCTCCCTGATGATATTACCCAGATGTGCTTCCAGTCACCATCCTTCAGAGTAGCATAGAGTGCCCTCCCCAGCCCTCCCACCACCCAGGAAAGCCCCTCCACACCCTTCTGTGCCTCTGCAGATGTGGCTCCTGTGGGTGATGCTGATCTGCCTGGCTGAAGGGCAGCTTGCCAGTGCCACACTCTGCAAGACCTACGGCACCATCCCAGGCATCCCAGGGTCACCAGGACGACCTGGCAGCAATGGCAGAGATGGGGAGAACGGCCCAAAGGGAGAGCAAGGTAAGGAGGAGGCTGCAGGTGGGGAAGACAATCATCCTGTGAATGCCAAGAGCAGGAAAAAGCAGAGCCAGGTGCACGGTCCTGGGAAAGCAATCCATTTTCACCAGTTCCTTTGAGGTGTTGTCAGGTGGGGGTGATGCTCAGGGACAGAAGGGACAGGACAGACTGGAGCATGCTGAGCAACCTGGGGAGGGAGGGTGAACAACAGCAAGTTTTCAGTGTTTGCAATGCTATTTTTGCATTCTTTAGCTCCTGTGCAGTTTCCACTTTCAGCTTGTTGATATTAAGAGTGTTTCTCTGTAATCCACTGGCAACTACAGACAGAAGCTGTTTCAAAGCTTTAATGTCTTCTCCTGCTTTAAGCATTGTTTACAGGACATCCCATTAGTTTCTTCCTGAACTTGTTTTTGTTCTTTCACAAATTTCTGCAGATTTTCTACATCTTGACAGATTACTGGAGGTAGATTTTCATCCTGTCACACCTGCCAGTTGGGCAGGGGTCTGACCCACGTTGTGTGCAGGTTTCCTTCCTCAGACTCTCTCTGCAGACCTGTGGGGCTCAGCTGTGACCACAATGACTCTTCTTCCTGCTTCCTAGGACCTCCTGGCCGGGCAGAGCACGAAGGAGACCTGGGGGAGAAGGGAGACCCGGGAGCACCGGGGTACCCGGGGAAGGTCGGCCCCAGGGGCCCGCCGGGTGGAAGGGGATTACCAGGTCTCACCGGATTACCCGGCCCGCCGGGGGACTCTGGAGACTACCAGGCCACCCTCAAGTCTGCCTTCTCCGCTGCCAGGAGCATCAGCACCTACCCCCGCCGGGAGCAGCCCGTGCGCTTCGACCGCATCATCACCAACGAGAGGGGCCACTACGAGAACCGCTACGGCCGCTTCATCTGCCGCGTCCCCGGCATCTACTACTTCACCTACCACGCCACCTCCAGGGGCAACCTGTGCCTCAGCTTCAAAAAGGGACGGGGCGGCAGCAGGGGGGAGAAGGTGGTGACCTTCTGTGACTTCGTGCGCAGCAGCTTCCAGGTCACCACGGGCGGCGTGGTCCTCAAGATGGCAATGAACGAGTCTGTCTGGCTGGAGCCGACGGAGAAGAACTCCCTGGTGGGGATCGAGGGGTCCGACAGCATCTTCTCCGGCTTCCTCATCTTCCCCGAGGCTTAGCCCGCTGGAGGTGTCTCTGCAGCCCCCTCTGCAGGGCTGAGGACTCCCCTGGAAATGACTCTTTGCTCCCAAATCGGTGCCCCGAGTGCATTGCTGCCGTTCTCGCCCATTAAATGACAGCTTTTTGCGTTGTTGGTCCCTTTCTGCCTCGAGTTTGCCTTTTTCCCCCCCCCACATAATGTTCACATACCCAGGGCATTGCTTCCCATCCTCCTGGTGCAGCCCAGGCTTATTAGGATCTCATTGCTGCTGAGCAGAGCCAGGCAACTCGTGCAGTTCCTGCTGCACACCAGGCTGAGGATCACCTTCCAGAGACACCCAGAGAGTCCCAGCCTAGGGTTAGGAAAACATGGAGAGGCAGCCTGGCCTCTAGCAGGGGACAGGACACATGACATAACTGGGGCCACTGGGTATTGATGGTAGATGGGAAGATACTGGAGATGGTGCTGTACTGGAGACTCCTGACAGTGGCAGGATCTGGGAACCCAACTTCTTTTAGACTTTTTTTTTGGGTGGTGGTGACAAAAATATCCACAGTAATCTGTCAAAGCTTGTGATAATGTGTGTGTCACAAGGGAAGGCAGTTTGAGGCCATGATGGGAGTGGCGTGGAACACACAGTTACCCCCACACAGCCCCAAAACCCCAGCAGAGAACCAACACATACATGTCCTGCAGCACAGTCAAGTCCTCCCTGAGATCTCCTCATTAACAGCAGAGCTGATGGACTCGAAGACATCCAAATGAATTAAAGCTGGGGAAGTCAATGACATCCCCGGCATGGGGCAGGTGACAACCCAGTGTTGTACCTGGGTGGTGAGTTGTCTGCAGACCCCAGTCCAGCTCATGGTGGACACGGGACATTCAGGAAGCAGAAAAGAGAATTTTTGTGGGAGTCTGGGGCTGGATGGAGAGGATGGCGATAAAGGGTCTTAGGGAGGTGGGTGCGATGTGGACTGGATTTGTGGAGCTCTCCGCGTCTGCTCGTATGTCCAGAGGGCTCCCCGCAGCTCTGGGATGCTCAGGTGTCCCTCTGCCAGTGCAAGACAGTGACTGACGCTGTTGTGACCAGCTTAGAGGCTCCTGCTCGAGTCCGGGGTGATTCGCCGGCAGGTGGCACCGGAGACTGGCTCAGCCCTCATCCGGCAGCGGGACCGTGCTCGTCCCACGGGCTGGGCGGGCACAGCTCCAGGGGCCGGGAAGCAGCGAGAGGCTCAGCTCTGCCCGTAAGGTCTGGGAGGAGGCAGCGGGCGGGATTAGGGAGTCTCCCCTTTCCAACCCAGTCCATACCTCCTCCTCCTCCTCGCCACATCGCTGCTTCATCCTTCCTGCAGCAAAATTTGAGGCTTTTGTCCCCGGGTGTGCAGCCACCCGTGTCCCCAGACCTCTGCTCCTCTCGGAAGGTCGGGGAAGAGGTGTTGGGTGTCACGACCCGAAGTTCTCTCGGTGCCAGAGCCCTGGTGGGTTTTAAAACGCAGCCACAGCACTCAGAGGGTGTTTCACAGCTGGAGATGCAGCATCCCACCAAAAATCGGGACAGCAGGACATGGTAAGAAGGACAAGAGCAACCCCCAAAACCGAGCTGGGCTGCATTGAACACCAGCTACACCTCCTGCCAGGAGACACCGAACCAAGGAGCAGTGGATGTACAGTGGATGTCCTGCCATTCCAAGAGCCCCAACAGGCTGGAAAATGAGCTGCCAGGAGCCCACTGACATTTAATGGAAACAAATGCAATGTCCTTCTTCTGGCATGGGATAACCCCATGTAATAGGACAGCTGTGGGCAAGAGGAAGCTTCATCTGGGATGCTGTTGGACACCAAAACTTTGATCCAGGTCTGCTCCCAAACCTCCCCACCCTGCTCTGAGGTCCAGAATTCATTCATAGAAGTAAAGTAATTCATTCATGGAGCAATCTTGGAACAACACCACAACCATTAACAGGAGAGCTGGAGAGAAACCTGTGCAGGGCCAGGTGTGGTGGGTGATAAGGGCAGATCAGGGCAATGCAACGGTCACTGATCCTCAGGAAAGGGACAATTTGCATGTTTAATTAATTCCTCACACCTTCCCCATGAGCATCTGAGCCCAGCACACTTCAACCCTGCACAGCTGCACCACGGGAATAGATCTGCAGTGCCTGTCCTTACAGAAACACAGAATTACAGAGTCAGCTGTGTTGGAGAAGACCTCTGAGATCATCAAGTCCAACCTTTGACCCAACACCACCTTGTCAACTTGACCACGGCACTAAGTGCCACATCCAGATTCCTCTTAAACACCTCCAGAAATGGTGGCTCCACCCCCTCCCTGGGCAGCCCATTCCAGTGTCCGATCACCCTCTCTGTAAAGAATTTCTTCCTAATGTCCAACCTAAACCTCCCCTGGCGCAGCTCAAGGCTGTGCCCTTTTGTCCTGCTGCTGGTTGCCTGGAAGCAGAGCCCGACACCCCCACCCGGCTCCCCCCTCCCGTCAGGGACTTGTAGGGAATGAGAAGGTCTCCCCTGAGCCTCCTCCTCTCCAGGCTGACCCCCCCCCAGCTCCGTTGGCTGCTCCTCCCAGGACTTGCGCTCCACACACACATGTTCCTGCACATCCACGCTGCTCTGTGTGCGCTCACACGGTGCACCCTCCTCCCTGTGCACGCTCCCCCCGCCCCTCAAACGCCCCCTCTGCTCTGTGTGTGCTCTGCAGCTCTGCCCTGACACGCCCATTCTGCTCCTCTTCGCTCCCTCTGGAGTTTATTTTCAGAGTGGCCGCGGTGCCTCCCCATGGCCCAGCCACAGCCTTTCAGCAGGAGGTGCTGTGACCCTCACCTGCGCACAGGCTGAGGCCACCAGATGCTCGGCAGATGCTGAAGTTGGGGCAGGAGGTATTTCAAGGTGACTTCGGGAGTTTTAGGGTTTGTCAGTGTTTTGCCAAGCAGCTGTGGGGTGCTTTGGTCCGTCGGTGCTGGAGGGGAACAGAGAGAGAAACAGGAGCACAGATGTGGGCAAAGACTGGTAGAGCTGGCAGGGTTTTAAAATAAAATCCTCCTGCTTCCAGGCACAGAGCATCAAGGACCAGCAACAGAGATCAGCAAGAAAACCAGGTGGAGGTTTCTCCTGCATCATCTATGGGGGCTTGGAAGTTTCCTCTGTGCCAAAGCTCCAGTCCTGGCATAAGCAGGACTTTGGCAGGATCTGATGCAGTGGAGAATGCATTGTGCCTGTCAATATTTGTGGAAATGAAGCTGAGCTGGACACATGAAAGCACGACTGTGTTGTTTGTCAGCGAGATTGAGGCAGTGATGTCAGTCCCACAGTCTGGTCTAACACCACCAGTAAATGCTGGGGAGCCTGCAAAGGTGTTGGTCTGTTTGCACTTGAGCCCATGAGTTCCCAGTACCTGATGCCCAAGGAAGAGCCCTTCCTAAACCATCCTTGCTTGGCCTTGGTCCTTGCTGGAAGCATCAGCCACAGCCAGGCTGCCCATCAGGAGCAGTCCCCCAGGGAAGCCCCTCCAACCAGCCCTTCTCCCGTGCAGCTTGTGATGCTGCTCCCAGATACAGGGAGGCTTTTCCCTTGCCAGCAGCTCCCTCCTGAAAAGCCAGCCCTGAGGCACAGTGTCCTCTCCCCTTGGGCCAGACTGTGTAGTGAAATATAGGGGAGGAGGGATGGTGTTTTTCCTTCCCTCCCATTCTCCAAACCATAACATCAAGCAGGAGCTGTATGGGAAGATCTGTATGGGTTCAGTGCTGTACCAGGATGCTGGGATGCTCTTGGCAGAGGCATTACTGGGACAGGCACTGGGCTGTGCCTGCTGGGATGTTGCAGACAGCAACAGGACACAGCAGCACCAACTCAGGTTTGGTGGTTACTGGGGTCACACATGGTGGCTTCACTGTCAGCAGGGCAGGAGCTCCCTCCATGGATCCTCTGGGTGCACTGGTTCCACTGGAGGGTGGTCCCAACCCCAGAGGGACTCCTGTGGAGTTTGATACAGCAGGGACCAGTCTGGGACAGGGAAGAGTGTTCAGACACCAGCTCCTACCCCAAATCTCACCTCAGGGCTGTTGTTTGTTTCCCCCATCTTCACTCAGGCTTGGATTTGAATTTGAATGGGAAGGAGCAATTACTTCTTTTGCCTGGAGCAACACAGCCTGGCTTGACTCCACTCTGAGCTGTGCAGGGAACTCCTGCTTTTCCTGGCCCCTCTGCAGGGACCGGGAGCTGGGAGCCTCTGCGCTGGACTGGACATCAAGGGGTTAAATCCCAGCCCTGTTTTTTCTGCTCTGCCTCCTTATGAGGAACAGCCTTCGCAGGGCTGCAGAAAGGCTCTTTCTTTCCCCAGCAGATCTCTGGGAATGAAAAGTCTGTGTTCCAGATATTAAATTACTCATAAAATAGTTGGCCTGTCCCCGAGGCGGCTCCGCACCCCCCCCCCCAGCCCCCGCCGCCGCTCTGACGGGCTGCTGATGTGCATCTGCATGTCACCTCCTGCTACAAGGTCAATCTCTCCAATTTAAAGCAGCAACGTTCGAAAGCGAACCAGATTTCAGCCGGAATTAGCTTCAAATGGAGCATTCAGGGGACTCGTGCTGGGAGAGAAGCGCAGGAGGGGAAGGACCAGCAGAACCGGGTGTGGGGTGGGGGCGGTCCTGCGGCTGCAAACCCCCGTGGTGGGGCACCCAACGCACCTCGGGGTCCACGGAGGGGCTGGGATGCTGCCGGAGCTCACCGGCGGGCGGGGATGCTGCCGGGGACCCCTAAGGCTGCTCAGTGGGGTGGATGTGGGCGGGGACGGGGGGAAGGGCTCAATCCCTCTCCCATTCGCAGCTTTGGCAGCCTCGGCAGGAGCCCCTGGATGTCGGGGAGCTCCCCTCCCCCTCGGACAGCCCCCCTCGCCCCCCTGGACCGGCGCGGCCATCGGTGACCTACAATCGGGCACGGGTGCGAGGCGGGGCGGCGGGGCCGAGGTTTCCATGGGGATGTGCGGGATGGGAAGCCTGGCCTGGTTCA